TCAGTTGGTTGCATTCTTTTTATTATTACTGGATTTAATTTTTGTCGTAATATGAGTGTGCATTTGGGTGTGTTATGTGTTTAAATAATTGTTTTTGTTTCTCTTTTATGTTTGCTACTTTATTTGCTATAGCGTATGTTTGTAATGCTTCATTATTTTCCTGGATGGTTATATGGAAGAGCACCGTATGGTGAATATCGCCATCCTTTAAATACTTCTTTGTATAAAAAAAAATTGCGATCGAAATAAAGGCATTATTATTATTATTATTATTATTATTATTTTGACTATAAACTTACTTCCAAAACGATAGTTAGCCTCTTTACGGCTGACGGTGTCATTTTCATCACGTGGCTCATAGTCAAGTCCGTGTGGTCGACGACGAAGAGTAGGCCTTGCGCAATGTCGTATTGAAATGCGATTTCCATTAAGTTGTATATATGGGCCAAGAACTGATAAATATCGAAATCCTCGCCTCTTATTTTTAGTATGTACACCCTGTACAGATCTTTAGTTTGCTTCGGGAGGGCGACGAAAACTCTGGAAACATTGGTGAAATGATATATTGAGTTGGGATCAGTTATTATTGATTTCTTTAACTTTTGTTACTTTTAACATAAAATGATCAAAGAACGTCGTAAAGTTACGACATGGACTTACAATTAGCAAACGCTCCAAATAATATTTAACAAACAGTGAAAAAAATCAACCAAATGGAGTATGTTGCTAGGATATTTTAGCTACTGGTATCAAAATATTTAGGGCAACAAAAGAATCACGTGGCCACGAGTAAATGCGATTTGCTACCATAACGTAAACAAGTTTTGTCCCTGTTTAACAGCTCAGTTAAAATTATATTTTATTTAATTGTCGATATATCCCAAGTGAGTTGCTTTGATCGGGTAAGTGAATATATGGTGTCTTGAAGTCAAGGGCCTATTGTGAGGATACAAAAAATTTAAATACAATTTGGGACACGTGGTGTTAAATGGGATGAGGTAAGCTCCATTTTCAATCGAAAGTATTATCTTTGGGATTCGACAGAAACAACTAATGACGCCATCAATTATATTTTCTCCAGAAACATACCCAAATTTTTTAATGTTAAAAAGCTCTTTTTTTTCTAATAAACTTTTATTGGAGAAATTTTCCTGAATTACTTCTCGTTTAAAAGTTATAAGCAATATTGTCCTAGAGAGTCTCAAAAGAAATACCACCTAGAAATCACATTAGCGGTGGAAGGATCAAGTAGTCGTTGGAAAATAATTGAATGTTCGTTGTTTCGAGTGCATAAATATCACAAAATACTTGTCATTACTCAATACGAATAACTTTTGTAGTTACAAAATGTTTCATTCAGAAAAAGTTGTTCTAACACCCCTCGATTTTTTTATGGGGGCTTTAAAAAATTAAGGTTCACAAAACACTTTCGCGAGATATTAATCATTCGAAAGAAAAAATCACAATCGCTCATTTGCCTCATTTTTTAAGTTTATAGTTATTGTTATCATCACCATTTGTTTGGACTGTATCAAAGAATTATTGAGTTTAATCCTTTTATTTATTCTTAATAGACTAGGCGGTATCTGTTTTGGTTTGGGTGAAACGTATATCACAGACAATATAGCGTATCCGCTACAGACTGCTACTTAAATGCTGGAAATTGGCAACCCGAAATGGAAGCAGGGTCTCCTTAGCCGGCTTCCAGCTATAAAATTTAGCGTGGTAACTCTTCTACTTGCTAATAGGCGGCAGTTCCAGCGGTGGCTTTGTTGCCAAATAATAACTGCTAAATAAATTTAATGCTTTCAATTATGTAATTAAAGAGATATGGAACTTATC